TTCCTTCCTTCCTTCCTTCCTTCCTTCCTTCCTTCCTTCCTTCCTTCTTTCCTTCCTTTCTTTTTGGTTTTTTGAGACAGGGTTTCTCTGTATATGGCTGTCCTGGAACTCACTCTGTAGACCAGGCTAGCCTTGAACTCAGAAATCTGCTTGCCTCTGCCTCCCAAGTGCTGGGATTAAAGGCGTGCGCCACCACTGCCTGGCATTTAGTATATATTTTTAAAAGTATTTTTTTGCATTTAAATTTTTGAAAATGATTTTCCCCTTTGTACATAAATGTATTTTATTTTAATCAGATCACCATCCCTTATTCTCCCACCCAGCTCTTCCTCTGTCCTCTTCCAGTTTCACACTGTCCTATGTGAGTGTGGATGAGTGTGGATGAGTATTTGTGTTGTGTGTGTGAGTGTGTGTGTGTGAGTGTATATGGAGTGTGAGTGTATGTGGAGTGTGTATATGTGAGTGTGTGTTGAGTGTGTGAATGTATGTGTGAGAGTGTGAGTTATGTGAGTGAGTATATGAGTGTGTTAATGAGTGTGTATTGAGTGAGTATATGTATGAGTATGTGTTGAGAGAGTGTGTATGTGTGTTGAGTGAGCATGAGTGTGAGGGTGTGTTGAGTTTGTATAAGTGTGAGTGTGTATATGTGTGTATATTTGTGTGGTAGAATGTACTGAGTCCAATTAATGTTGCCGCATGTGGGAGGCTGTCTTTTAGGACTTAGAGGACACTGCTTCAAGCTCTTTGGCTCTCTAAGCGTCCATTGAGAAGTCACCAGGTGTTCTAATGGGTTTGCCTTTGTGTGAGTTGTGACTTCTATCTTGAAGGTTTCACATCCTTTCTGTTTTCTGGATGTTTAGTGCTTGTATATAATACTGCATGGGGAATTCTTTTTTGTTCACTTGTGATGTCTTCAGGGTTCTGAAACAAATGACTTCATGAATGCTGAAGTGGACTGTATTTCAAATTTTGGATGTATTTATATTTCTAGGAAGTGGTGACTTATATGTTAGAATATTTAAATGGAAACTATTACCATCAGGAATGTCAGTTAGTCAAAGATTCTAGCTAAATTTATTATGTGCCAGACTGTTTTCTTAATTTTCAAACATTTAGAAGATATAAACTGGCCCTAATATAGTCCTTTAAATTTAAGGCCCTTCAGAAGCTTATGTAGGATTTCTGAATAAACTTGCACTGTTAAAAGTTAATCGGTAAAACAATTAGAGGGTAAGCATTTTTGACCTACAATTTAAGGACAAGTTCATTTTCTCATTTCCATGCTGCTGATTGAACATGTTTTCTATGTGTGAATATGAAAGTAGATAATACGAGGTTCGATTTCTTGGTGAGTCTGGAGGCCATCTCAGAGGAAAGAGAAATTTTGATTTTATTTATTTTGGTAAATCCAGGACCTTGTCCATGCTGGACAAACACTCAGTATTGAGCTACATCCCCAGCCTGTTTTCCTCACAGTTTATTCATTGATTTATTTGTTTGCTTGTTTGTTATATGTATATGGTAGGGGAGAGAGTGTGTGCCCACCAGTGCAGGTGATATGGATTCTTGGAGCTGGAGTTGAGCCAACTGACTTGGATTCTGGGAGCCAGGTTGGCCTGAGCTTCATGAGAACCTGCCTCAAAAGATCAAAAACAAACCAAAACACTAAGCAACTTCCTAAGAGCAGTGTGTACTGTTCATCATTTGTTTGTTCTCTATAGCCCTGATTTGTTTGGTTTGGTTTTTCAAGACAGTATTTCTCTCTCTGTGTAACCTTGGTTGTCCTGGAACTTGCTCTGTAGACAGGGTGGCCTCGAACTCTAGAGATCTGCCTGTCTCTGTCTGAGTGCTGGGATTAAAGCTGCCACGATACTGCACTGGAATTTTCTTTTTCAGTTTGAAAATTTTCCTCCCTTTGTGTTTTTTTTTTTTTTCTTTTTACTCACACAGACATAATATGTGGAAAAAGAAGGAGGAAGGGAAGATTGCTCCTTTTCATCCTTCAAAACTACTTTGGGACCCGTCATCCCCTGCTCTCAGACAGAACAAAACAGTGGCAGGTGACCTGCCTGTAAGCGAAGCTGCAGTGAAGATAGCTGCCCTGGAGGATGAGCTGGCCTTGCTCCGGGCTCAGATTGCTGCCATTGTGGCCATGCAGGACCCGAGAGAGCGCAGAGAGACTGGTAAGTAGTTGTACTTTGGTTTCTACTGGAGGGATACTGAGCTGACCCTCAAGTCAGTGGCATTCTGAGTGTAAGACAGCAATAAATGCACCATAAAAGCCTGATGTAAGCCAAGGGGGTAAAGAAGAGCTAGCTGTACTCCTGAAGATCATTTTGTTTGTTTGTTTGTTTTAAGAAGTCATGACTTCTAAGTAAGCTTTTCTAATTCTTCAGCTAAGGCATAGCGGCTCATGCCTGTAATTCCAGCATTTAAGAGGCTGGGGCAGGGAGACTGCCTTGGGTTGTAAGCCATTCTTCTTGGCTGTAGAGTGAGACCATATCTCAAAAACGGAAAATAAGGGCTGGGGATGTAGTTCAGTTGCATACCGCTTTGAGATTAAACATCGAATAAAAGGGCACAGCTGGCCATACCTTCATTCTAGCACTTGGGAGGTAGGCACAGGTGGGTTAAAAGTTCAAGACCATCTGCAGCAACACAAGAGTTCGAGGTTAGCCTGGACTGCATGCAAACCTCCCAGAAACACAAAAACAAGACAAAAATCCCTCAAACTAATGAACACATTTTATTAAAAAATTTTAATGATTTATTTTTATCCTCTGTTTATTGGTGTTTTACCTCCATTAATGTCTTTGCGAGGGTGTAAGATTCCCTGAAACTAGTTCTGGAAATTGAACTCCGGTCCCCTGAAAGAACACCTAGTGTTCTTAACCACTGAGACATCTCTCCAGCCCCATAAATCATTTTTAAAATGGAAAGAATGCACGGTTTAGAAAGAGCAGAATAGGTTTGAGATCATGTACGTGTATAGTCTAGTTTTTTTTTTTAATTTTTTTTTTAGATTATGTATAGGAATATTTTCCTGTAATAGATATCTGTGCACCATGTATGTACTTGGTGTCCACAGGTGTCAGAAAAGGGCGTTGGATCTTCTGAACTGGAGGTATGGGTGGTTGTGAGCCACCACGTGGGCACTGGGAACTGAACCAGTTTAATAGTTGAACCAACCCCTAGTCTTAGGTAATTTTTAAAAAATTATTTTCTTTTACATGTATGTGTTTTCCTGCATGTATGTGCACCATATGCATGCCTGTTGCCTGCAGAGGCTAGAACAGAACATCAGATCCTCAGGAACTGGAGTTAAAACAGTTATGAGCTGTGACCTGGGTGCTCTGGAGCTGAACTCAGGCCCTCTGCAGGAGCAGCCAGGGGCCTCTTATCTGCTGAGCCTGCTCTTCAGCTTGGCTGCAGTTTTTGATGATACCCTCACTGGGTTCAGGTGAATAATATTTTCCAGATGTCTTTTTCTAAGCTTTTGGAGATGCATCTTGTTTTAAACATAAAAATTTTAGGTTCTAAAGAGGTGGCTCAGTGGGTAAGAGCACTTATTGCTGTTCCAGAGGACCTGAATTTGCTCCTTGGTACTTATGTTGGGTGACTCATACCCATTTATAACCCCAGCTCAAGGGGAATCTGACACACTCTTCTGTCCAACTTCTGTGTGACTACCTGTGCTGACATGCACATACCCCTCATACATAATTAAAAGTAATAGTAAATTTTAGAAATTATGAGACTTAAGGAATATAGGTTCTGAGAACTTTTCACATCAGATTTGGTTGTTAGGGGCTAAGTGAAAATATGATTACTAAAATTTTACATGTATACTATGTGTTCATAATACACATATACATACAGTACACTAATACACACAGCATATAGCTACAGTATAATTTATAATTTATATAGTTAAATCACCTAATACTTTATATAGATACATAAACATAATCATACATGAATATACTCTTTGTTTTGAAGCAAGGATGTTACTCACACCTCTTTAGGAGCAGATTTATGAGAAGGTGACTCATTTTAGGAAGTCGCCTGTGGAGCCATAGGCCTATTTCTCAAATGTCATTGTAGAGTGCACACATCAATATGAGCACTTCTAGCTACATGTGGTTAATGCTTTGCTTTTAAAACTGGAAAATGAAGTTGAGATTTTCTATGAATTTCTAGAAGTCAATTTATTTCCTCTTTAAAATGTACCCTTTAGCATACACCATGGTACATCCTGACTGGATTAGAAATGAACTGAAACTTCTGGTGGATGCTCCTCAGGGTGACTAACATGGATTTGCTTGCTGTCTTGGCTACTTGTTGACATTTAGCAGGATTACAGGATTGTTACTGACTCTACTCTTGCTGGCTTTGTATATTATGCTAGAGAATTGTGTGTGCTTTTGGGTTTTTTCTTTAGGCTTCACTGACTTAAGTGATGGAACCAGCATGGAGCAAGTGCCACCATCATCAGCGATCACTGGGCTGAGTATGGAACCAGACCATGTTCCAAGTGTGGTGCTTCTTCCTCCTCTTCCTCCTCCTCCTCCTCCTCTTCCTCCTCCTCCATTTTCTCTGCAGCCTCCAAGTGCTCTTCCCATGCAACCTGGATCTGCTAATTCACGTGACATAGGTAGTTTGGCTACTGAAGTGAAAAGGCAGCTCTCAGGTGTTAAGATGACCAATGATAGCCATCATTCAAACAGCCAGGGAGTCTGTGATGTTCCAAACATGTTGGATGTTCTAAAGGATATGCATAAAGTCAAACTTCGGCCTGTGGAAAGGTATGTCACCAGAATTTGGGAAAGGCAATGAACTTTTATCAGCTTTTCAGAGAAATTGTTTATGGGAGTTGATGTATATTTCTTACTCTTCCTCACCCTGTGGCCACCCTTCCAGGGGACAACTACGCTTAGTTCTTTCTTTGAGTGTTTCTTGTCTTACCATACTTCACTGGTTTTTGGTCTGTTAATTATACTTTGTGCTGAGGGGTATAGGAATACAGTAGTTCCTTCCACCCAACATTTTGCTTTCTCTGAGGTTGGTTACCATTTAATGGAAAGTTCCATTGGTCTAGCTACAGAATGCTACAGTGGGAAATTAGAAGGTTAAACATTAAGGTTTGGAGCAATGAAAATGAGGAACTCAGGTCACACAGGCTTTGGGAGGCCCCAGTCCGTGGCTCCTGGTTTTCTGATGTGAATTCTTAGTTCATTTATTCTTTCTTCCTTACTTTCTTTAATTAATTTATTTATGTGTGTTTTAAATGTAGAAGTGCTCTGTCTGCCTGTACACCTAAATGCTAGCCGATCAGATCCCTTTATAGATGGTCCTGAGCCACCATGTGGTTGCTGGGAATTGAACTCAGAACCTCTGGAAGAGCAGCCAGAGTTCTTAACTGCTCAGCCATCTCACCAGCCCTTCTTTAGATTTCTTAATTAATAGCAGAAATCTCTTAAGGACTAATTAGATTATAATATATTATGCTCACATTCCTGCTGTGTTTAGGAACAAAGAGCTAAAATTGCATCAGTGTTTTAACGTGTTTGATTTTCTTGATTTACAAATAGGTCACCAGGTGGTAGACCCATTCAGAAGAGGAAAAGACAGAGTTCACAATGGGATCCAGTGTCTTTAATATCTAATGCCCTGAAGCAGAAGTTTGCATTTCAAGATGATTCCTTTGACAAAGAAAATAGATCTTGGGAGTGTTCTCCATTTTCTAGTCCAGAAACTTCAAGGGTGAGTTGTGATAGTGAAGCCTTAGCTTACTTTCTCAAGTATGTGACTGAACTTGTGACTGAACTTGGCATACAGATTCTCTTGACATGTATATATATATATGGGATACAGGATTGTTTTCTATTATTTATTTGAGGTGGGATCTCACATGGTAGCCCAGACTGGGCTGGAACCTTGGGAAATCTGCTGCTTTAGCCTCTCAAGTGCTGGGAGTAGTTTCCATGACAGGTTTAGTGATTAGTTTTGTTTTTGTTTTGATGGTAATATTTTTCCTTGCCAATTTTGCATTATTGTTTTTCATATTATGAAACAAAACACAATTTAAACTCCACAGATGCAGCCCGGTGGCATGGTGGCTGTGGTACACACTGGTGCACACCTTTAATTGCAGCATTTGAGAGGAAACAGAGGCAGGTGAATCTCTGGGTTCAAGACAGCCAGGGCTACGAATAGAATTCAGGATAGCCAGGGCTACACAAACAAACCATGTCTTGAAAACTAAAAAGGAAAAAAAAAAGAAAAAGAAAGGAAACCACAGATGTATGATGGTCTATGCTAGGTAGGTGCTAAATTGGTATTGCTATTTGCAGTATGAATGAGAAATTTAAAAATTTTGGGTAACTAGAGAAGAGCTGTGTAATAGGCTCAGCCTAACCATACTGGATGTGAGCACTCCAGTATTTGTTTTGTTTTTTGTTTTTCGAACAGGGTTTTTCTGTGTAGTTCTGGCTGTCCTGGAACTCCCTCTGTATACTAGGCTAGCCTCGGACTTAGAAATCCGCCTGTCTCTGCCTCCCAAGTGCTGGGATTAAAGGTGTGCGCCACCACCGCCTGGCAGTACTCGAGTATTTTTGCTGTTAAGTATGAAGGATATTATGGATTATTGAATGGAATTGTCTTAGTTAGAGTTTCTATTCCTGCACAAACATCATGACCAAGAAACAAGTTGGGAAGGAAAGGGTTTATTCAGCTTACATTTCCCACGTTGCTGTTCATCACCAAAGGAAGTCAGGACTGGAACTCAAGCAGGTCAGGAAGCAGGAGCTGATGCAGAGGCCATGGAGGGATGTTACTTACTGGCTTGCTTCCCGTGCTTGCTCAGCTTGCTTTCTTATAGAATCCAGTACTACCAGCCCAGGGATGGCACCACCCACAAGGGGCCCTCTCTTATTGATCACTAATTGAGAAAATACCTTACAGCTGGGTCTCATGGAGGCATTTCCTCAACTGAAGCTCCTTTCTCTGTGACAACTCCAGCTTGTGTCAAGTTGACACACAAAACCAGCCAGTATAGGAATGTTAACCCTGTTTGTTAAAAAAGCAAAAGGATTATAGTTATGTTTTTCCCCCCGAGATTGGCTCAGAGCTTGTTTTGTAGAGCAGGCCTGTCTCTTGTGCCCTGAGTGCTGTGGTTGAAGGCTTGTGCCACCATGCCTGGCCAGAATCAGAAGTATCTTTAGAGTGGTGTCTATGGAGCCATGAAATGGTATTACCCTTTAGGGGGTGATTCTCATACTCATTTAGCAGAGCTCAGACCTAAGAATGAGCCTTGTGATCCACGGGTCTGTAGGAGGGACAGCATCTAAAGTCAGTAGCTAGCACTAAAGAATGTCCCACAGCAGAGAGAGGCTAGAAAACAGAAATGCCTACAGCTGCTCAGATAGCACAATATTATGGGAGGTGTGTTCTTTCAGGAAGGCCACTGTACCGTAGCTATGGTCCATCAGATTGCCACTGTGTGCACGTAATCAGGTGTTGCCTCATAATGGTATTTTATATATGTGATAATTCCAGGCTAGGGATCTAGTTAAGTGGTAGCATGCCTGGTTAGTATGCATGAAATGGTAGGTTTGATGCTCAGCACCCTAAAACAAACTAGCAAAATACCTGCCCTTCAAACAAAACAGAGAAAGCAAACAGTTCTCCTTGGGAATACTAGTTGCATCTTCAGTGTGCAACTGTGTCTGAAGTAAGTATTCAATTCTAACATTTGTGTAGCACTTTGTTACTTGAAAGATAAGGATGCCTAGCTATGTGTTCTGCCTACCCGAGTTAACCAAATATTAGATGGAGATAGTTGGAAAACAAGCAATAACAAAAATGCTTGCTGTTGTGCATCTGTTGTGAGCACATAGTAATCTTTTTTTGTTGTTTTTTCCTAAGCTGTTTACAGAATGTTTACAGTGTCCACAGGAAGACTTTCTCAGTGGTAGTGGATCACTGAAAGCTTCACTGGGTTCTAATGTACTGTTTGATGCTTGCTCATTGTTTTTTGGTACTTTCTTTAAAAAAATAAATTAAAATTATGTGTGTGTGTCTCAGTTTGTGGAAGTTAGTTCTCTGTACCCCACCTTGTAGGCTCTGGTGACCCAGCTCACCCTCATGCCTGGAGGCTGGTGTCTATACCCACTGAGGCACTGTCTGCCTTGGGGCTACTGCCCATGAGCACTGTAGAAGCATTCTTTCATTTACTTCAGGAGCTCTTAGTTTCAGGCTGGATGTAGGGACTGCTGGTGCCTGAAACCTGCTTTGGTTTGAATGTGGGTGGTACCCCCCAGAGGTCTGTACTCACAGCATGGTGCTAACTTGGGGAGTGTTGTAGGTACTACAAAGGCCTCAAGTCATAGGGGACATGTTTATAAAGGGAATTGTGGGAACCTGGACCCTTTTTGGGTGTCTTCTGATTGCTTGCTCAGAAGGTGAGTGGTTTGTGCGTCTTTGCAGTCCTGCTGTGAGGTGCACGCCCCTCAGTGGCTGCCAGTCTTGGACTGCAGTGGTGAGCCAAAGTGCACCCTCAGCTCCCTGAGTCTCCAGCTGCTGACATTCTTGCCCTTGTTTGCTGTCTCTAAGGATCACCCAGTCCTCGTCTGCCTTCCTGATTTCTCGCTCATTCCCCCTTCCCTTTTCCTCTTCCTCCTCCCCCTTCCCTTCCCCTCACCATTTTTGTTTTTACATTTTAGTAATTTTTGTGTTAAACTTTTGTTTTGTTTCAGTTTTGATGTCACATTTCTCCAACAGAAAGTCAGCGACCTAAGGGAAGGAGTGATAATATGAAAGCAGTTATCCAGGGTATCAGAAGCAAACGCAGTGCTGACACTTGGAAGGACAGATCCAGATGTGCCATGTGGCATCCTTCACTGCCTGTCAGAGAACTCCCACTTCTGTAAGGGTGATCAGGCTGTACTCTGGGACCTATCTTCACCCAGCCCGAGGAAGACACTTAAGAATACTGCCCCTGGTTTCAAGATGTGGCATTTATCTGCTACTGGAGAGAGTTGGGTGTGTAGATTCCCCACTTTATGTGAGTGCTACTGAAAATGAATTACATGGTTCAGTGAGTTTCCTAAAATTATGGCTTGCTACTGAGGCTCCTTTCAGTCTTGTGAGTTGTGTGATACAGTTTATTTGGCCTTCAGCAACTTGCAGATTTTTAGTGAGCAGAATATGATGATTGTTTTTTATTAAGATAGTCATGTTTTTTTATTAAGATAGTCAAAGTTTTAGTCATGTAGGGTTGAACTTTCTAAAACTTCCTGAGGTAATAAATTATTTGACTGTAAAGTACTGCAAGTAGAAATAGACCCTTGATAAATTCCATCCGCACTGGCTTTGCACACACAGACAGATGGCTGGTGTGTTCCCTTGATAAGTTTCATGCACATTGGCTTTGTATACAGACAGCTGGCATGTTCCCATTGTTCTTTATTATGTTTGCACCCTGTTTTTTGTTTTTGTTTTTTTGTAAGTATATTATAAAATAAATGGATCTTTTGATCTTGGTTGAGTTTTATAACAATTTATATTATATTCTTAGTGTTTTATGAAGTCTGATTTCTTTGTGAGAGGTGGTTATATAGTTAGAAATTCTTAGGGGGTACAAATGAAACACATAATTTGTTTTCAGTAGATAGTCTCTCCTCATCTGTGCTAATGTGATAAGTTTGCATGCTTCCCTCCCAGGGAGCAAGGAGGTGGCATCTGTGTGAGTGGGGTCAGCACCCACCCACTCTGCCAGGTGCTCTGCTGTCAGAGAAGCCTAACTTGTCTATCACTCATCAAAATTTTATTGTAAAGAACTTAGATATAAAACCCATTGTGCAACAGGGTCTTCAATTTGAATGCACTTATGGCTAATCTTAGTGCTTTCCATAATATTGACTCCGTAGTCCCCACAATAACGTGGGTGTAGCCTTTTGGGAGCCTCACTCAGCAGATGGGAAACTGGGCCTCCCAGGACCTCTGTAGTTAAGTGGTGAGATAGGATGTGAAGCCAGGCAGATGAATCTTCCAATCCGTGTTCTAACCATAGGAAGCAATGTAAACACTTACACAATTTTAACCTATTTTAACTGTGCGGTATTACTGAAGGCATTCTAGACAGTTTACAGATAGTGTGTAAGAAAGCAGTGTAGCAACAAATTGAAAGTCAAAAATACCTTAAGGCTGTAATTTTCTATATTTACCACTAGAGGGAAGTCCAATACTGAGCACACTGAGGTTGATACCAGCTGTTAACCACAGCCAAATGACAACTTTTTAGATGTCATTGATAAAACACGGTTAGACTGAGTATTAATTGCATGTGCAGCTTGTATAAAGGGCAGTCATAAATTATAAATTGGCATATCCTTGACATATCTTAGGTCACTCACCAGTAAGCTAATTCAGCTTTCCCCCAGCAGATCGACACATAGCTTTAATTAAATTACACTATTTATTTACTTAGTGTGTAGGTTGCGGGACAGATGTCAAGAATTGTTTGGTCACTAGAAGATCACTCTCAAGTTGTCAGACCCAACGGCAAGTGCTTTTTCCCACTGAGCCATCCTGCTGGACCACAAATAGATGTTTGTTAAAAGTCAGTAACTAAGGCAGGAAGTGGCATTAATTGTTAACATTCAGGCTTGCAGTAGAGTTACCCCCACTTTAAAGCTACAATGTGGCTGTTTAGTTTATTGCTGGGGAGCAGCACAGGGACTACTGTGAACAATATGGGTACAGTGTTTCTCAGCTTTATCATGGTAAAGTGGTAGACTGTATACTGAGTAACTAGAGTTGATACATGCATTATAATTGCATGCATTGCAATTGTGTAAAAGGTCATCTTCATGCTCCTTGGTGTTAGTCCAGCATCTGGGTCAACCTCTAACCCTCACTGTGGCATCATAATTTTAGACCTACCCACTAGGGCATGGAATTAAGTAATAATGGAGTCAGGTATGCTGAGGTAATCCTCTGGGTGAGTTTCATCCTGTGGTACCTGCCTGGCTATCCTCCCAAAGGACCCTTCAGTTTAGCTCTGCTTTAAGCAGCTGGTAGCTAGGGGACTGTGCCAAGACTGCTATTGCTAGCTTTCTCTGGAAGCCCATACCTTGCTTTCTGCTTCCATAATCCTGTTTGAAGTTAGATGATGACTAATCTTAACAGCTGATTAACACTTAATTTAGACAGTGAACACTTAATTTGTATTAGCCACTGTACTGTGTACTCTAACAAACTTTCATTTGTTAAATCTGTCCCATAACTTCCTCATAGAGACCATTACATTCCCTTTTCAGAGGAATGAAGAGGTCAGTACTAGATCCAAGATTATACTATTGTAAGATGCCAGCCATAACTCTAACCCCAGGCAGTCTGCCTCCAGTCTGAGCTTCTCACAAGCTCCCCCACCTATGGCATCTGCCATTCCCTGTGGCTTTAGTCCTTCAGTCATGCTTAAGAGCAGCATGCAACTTCCGGTCCACCAAAGGACACACAGGTAGTACCCTGTGTCTTTTTGTTTGTGAGGACCCCTGTCCTAGCTTCTAGACATTATCCCTTTGGCATAAGCTTCTCTCTGCTGCTGCATCTGTTGGAATAGTTGCTTCCTAGACTGGCTCTTCCCAGTCTCACCAGGTCCTTCTAAGGATAGGAACTGGGTCTTACTCATTTTACTCCGTCTATGCCCAGCAGTCAGTAGGTATATAATTTACTTCATTTAGCACAGCTTTTCAAGAGTTATCCCCATTCTGTAGATGAAGACAGTGGAGTATATACCACTTAGGCATCTTACCTAAGGTCAGTTTCTACCAAGTAGTACAGCTGGGATTAAACCCAGAGTGCCTGATAGATAATTGGTGCATCTCACTCTTGGACTTTGGGAACTCTTTTGACACATGGCATCCCATTTGTCAAAATGGACTTTATGTGAATTTAAAAGTATCAGGACTAGACCTAAAATGGATGTGGTTGTGAATTTGAGAGATAGGAAGATTAGGCAACTCAGCCTACAGGAGATTGTCCCAAAAACAAATCCCCAAACTAGCTTGGTCTGGTGATCCAGAACTATAGTTGTAGCTGCCACCAGGAAGGCTGAGGCAGGAAGATTGCAGGCTCAAGATCTGCTTGGGCCACAGAATGAGGCCAGGGTCAGTCTGGACACCGTGTTAAGTGAAAAGAAGGCTGAGACTATAACTTGCTCAGTCTTGCTCAGCATTCACAAGACTCTATGTAGGTCCAACCCAGGGGGAAAACAACCACCACTATCATATGCACAACCAGTCCAACCTCTGCCTGGTCCACACTGCAGCCACCTTGTGCTGCTATTGCTGGTGGTGTGTGCTCCTTCAGTATGGGTGTAGTATTTAATTTTTTTTTTTTAATTTAAAAACACAACTTTAAAAAAAAAAAAAAAAACTCCAGTAGAATACTGGAGAAACAGCCTGTGGAAACAGGCTTTCCAAATGGTGGTTTCCCAAGTATGAAGGCACAACGTACTCATTGCCTAGTACTGCCCTCAACAGCTCTGTCTGCTGTGTGGGGATCTTTGGTTCCACGAGACTTAGTAGGCCTTGATTGCTGTATTGACTTCAAGAGTTGTCTCGAAGCAGGAGATAAGTTGGGACCAGCAAGAGGTGCTTCAGGGGATGCAGAAGATAATTCCACACAAGGAAGAACTTTTACATTGACTCTGACAGGAATATCACAGCAAGTGAACAAGCCATCAGCCAGGAATTTTGTGGAGTAGACAGATATGTGCCAGAGGTGGGCTGCTGGTCTGTGCTCTGGAATGAGCTCTGGGGTGTGAAATGAGCAGTTAACAGAGGTGCCTGGGTTTATTGGAGAGCCACCGTGATCAGCGAGTGTGTTAGTTTGGAGCTACTGGGTTCACAGCAGTCCTCCATAGGCTTCTCTGCCCTTTGTGCCATTGGCTTTCATGCCTTTGATCCTGGAGGCTGACCTGCCTGTTGCTTAAGAGCTGGAGAGCCTTTATATAATGTGCAAACTGGATCAGGTACAGAATAGGGACTAGAAAGCAAAGACCTCCAGAGTCCATTCCTACTGTGGAGGGAGTATTGCTCAGACCACCTTCACACAGCACTGTGGCACCAACGGGCTTTATTGGTGGGACTTAGAACCGTGGTAAACCCTGGCATGCAGACTGAGGGCTTGGGACAGGTGCTAAGCAGAGAGAGATGAGAAGCCTCCATGGGAACTGCTGCTTGGGGTGCTTTGTCTCTTAGTTCTTACAGGCAAGTTTGTAGGCAGACAGTTCAGCACTTCACAAACTGATGGGTGACCTCGAAAATCCCCACAGGCTCCTGCGCCTTTTCATCATACTCTGTCCAGTCCTTGTCTTGCAGATTAATCTCACTGAAGATGGTCCCCGACTCCAAACCTTCAGCTGCAAACCCAGCCTGGGGCTGGAAGTCAACTGGTTCAAGGCCCCGCCACTCAAACTCCACTATCGTCTTGAACTTCTCATTGTCTTCAGCATTGTAAGACTTGATGGTGCTGCTCAAAATGTCAGTAGAGTTTTCTCGTGCACACAGCTTGCACTTCTGGACCATGGAGGCACTGCCTCGGCCTCCTTTCAGTGCCACACTGTCCATCAGATGTGTATACTGCCGCTTCTCTGAAATCTCGCCACAGTTGCCACATTTCATTTAGATGCCTGGTTAAGTACTTTAGACGCAATGGAACAGAAAACCTCCCAGCTCAACACTGAGATCATGGCTTTGCCCTGAGCCCTAGAATCAGTATTTAATTTTTGAAGCAGCCCCCAAAGAGAATCCAGTGCTAGCCATGGCCAACAAGAAACCCAGGGAAAGACTGGAGACTTAAGGAGGCAGAGCAGGTGGTTGTGTGGTATAGTTTTAAGGTTAAGAGGCAGATACCACTTAGCTAATGAAAGCCTATTGTGAACCACAGGGTTTGTCAATGAGACAGATCAGATTTCAGTTTGATGGCAGCCAGTCACTGAAACACCTACACAGTTGGAAGAGGAGGATGAAGGGATGGATGTGTTCCAGCAGCAGGCAGGAGGAGTTACAGAAGAGAAAACTTCATGTGAGGATGTTGTGATAGACCAAGAGCACAATCTCCATTAGGAAGACACAGTTTGGTTCTAGCTTGTCCTGGCAACCGCGGGACATCTCTGTGCCTTCTTTATCCTCCCCTCTTCTTACTCCGTTGCACACAAACTGTTTGTATATGTGTACAGCATTTGGAGGCAAGTGTTGGTTCTGTGACAATAGCCCCTTTCTCTCTTAGTGGCATGGTCATTCCACTCTTTATAGTCCACTGAGTCAACCCCAAAACAAAACAAAACAAAAATCCTTGTATACCTTGCTTAATTGGAGAATTTTAATGTTGTCATCTTCGTAAAACTAAGGAGAGTTTTTTTCTTAACATTTTTATTTATAGTTGTTACATGTAGGGAAATGTCTTTTAAGCAGGGGTACAAAACAAATCTGTAAGTCTAGCATCTTGTTGCTTAAATAAACTTAAAAAAAAAAAAAGAAAACCCACTACACTTATGATTCCTAGCAGACTTTATCCAAAGAAGTAAAAAATATAATGCAAGTTAATTGTTCAAATATGTGGGAGTTTCACAGCTAGGGCTTAAACCAGGATTACCTAAGGTCTCCTTGCCTAGGCCACCATGGTTGTGTCAGTGTGCTAGAAACCATACACTTGTAGACCGTGGAATGGCCCTTTGGTCCTCACCAGAACCATAAGCTGGCCCTTGGGGGTGGGGTCATGGTTAACACTGCTGATCACATTGTGGATCTAGTGACCAGAGTCCTACTGAGTGAGTCCAGGGTTTTTTTTCTTCTGCTCATGTGTCATGGAAGTGTCTATCCAAGAATTGCCTCCTCACATTCTGGAAAACAACTTCGAGAGTAATTATTTGTCCTCTGAGAATGAGTTTGATTTTTGAAAGTAACCAAGCAAGAGACAAGCCCCAGGAATGAGTGAATGGAATGATGGACAGTACATTTGGTTACCATGGTTACCATGGGTGTGATTTTTTTTTTTGAGTGGTTTATTTTTAATTAATTTTAAGCAGGTGTTATACTCAGACACTGAGGCTTTTATATCTCTCTTATTGTGCTGGAGAACAAATCCAAGTCATATGCTTGCTGGGTAAATACTCTATTACTGAGCTAACTCTCCAGTCTCCAATCCTTGCCTCTGAGGGCATTTCTAATTCTGAAGACTAATCCCCTAAATATTTTTATCACTATATTTTATTCTAAAACTACTTTAACAGTACTAGTACCGCAGTCATTTTAATTTTTGTATTAGAGGTCACACTCTGGGCCATGCTAAGCATGAACCCTCCCTCAGAGTTACATTTGCAGCTCCAAATAGTCATATTAATCAGGGCATTCATTTTACATCTCAGTAAATCACTCATAGTACCTTCAAAATTATTCAGTATATGTATGGTTCAACTTATATTACTTGAATAGATGTTTGCGTCCAAGGTTAGCAGCCGGTAGGGTAAAATTGTAAGTAAAGATGAACATACTCTTGATTAGTTACATCAAAAAACAAAAGCGATTTTAGTGTTATTTCATAAATAGGTTTGTTTTCCTACTTTTTTTTTTTTTTTTT